ATAGATTGTGTGTGTATGTATATGCGCGTTAAATACTTTGCATAGACTGTCTCCCATGGTCCTCAAATTTGCTTTCTTGGTTAAATGGAGGGATGAAGCATTTCATTTTATGGAATTGAGCATAATTATAGTAAAATCTGAATACGAGCAGGTAGGGTGTGCAGACAGAAGTGATAGATCACTTTACCGAAAGTCAATAAATAGCATGGTCTAGGAAAGTAGATACTAAATCTCACTTGCTGAGCGCAACAGACACCAGAATAGTTTTAGCACATGTGAGCCAACCACGTTAGAATCAAAATCAAACATTGCCGACGAACGACAGACACCTTCCAAGGAAGAATTCAGAGGCATCGCGCTCCTCTCAACAGGCGAGCATACATCTCACGTTTCGAGCACCAGCACATGCATCCAGATGTGCTCACCTGTCTCTGATGAGGTAGGCGGTGGCTGGGACGGCCGCGTGCTGCCCCCGTGAGCACCTGGACACCACTGCCGAGAGCGGCGCGGCGCGACCTCTCGTCACGTTAGCACGCGGACGTGGCCGTGATTTGTGGATCGGCGCTGCCTATCAGCAGTGCGTGCATTACACAGAAAACAGGATTACGGCCGGGTGTAATCCCCGCGACAGGGGAAGCGGGTGGCTCACAGCGGACGGGCTGCGCTATCACCAGGCAACCCACATTCGCGACAAACAGACCGGACGTACATCACGTCTGTTGGAAGTAGCACATCGATTGTAATTAAACATTGGAAAGAAAGACACACCTGACACAGGATGTCAGGACTCGCCGGCGATTCCATACGCAAAGCGGTCTCGTTTGCATGACAGTTGAGAAACATATGTCATAGCACTAACAACCAGAATGCATTAAACACTGATTTGTCTTGCATCTCTCGCGAGCTTGCTATGATCGTGATGACATCGATCGAGTTTAAAATGTGGAAATTCCTCCAAAAAGAGATGCACGGCGCCAGTCACTGGCGTCGTAATGCACCCACACTGTGTGGATACATTACAGACCAGCATGGAGTCGGCGAGGTTTGGCTGGTGCCAGCGCTGGAGTCCGCTTTCAATGCGTTTAACACAGTACGGAATCTCCGCTGGCATCGACAAAGCCTCGACGTTTCCAACTCGGACACCACTCCGAGGTCGTGGGCCGCTTTCTTAAGAGCGGATGAAATACTGACATCGATGTCTGGTCTTGAACTCCGTCAGAACGTTGCGCTCGAGGTGAAGACAGACCAGAAATAACTGCAATAAATTTACTCTAAAATTAACCTTTGTATTCAAAGTGCATGAGCACGACGTCAAGAACAATTAACAAGCCCTCTACAACTTTGGCTGGCCATAAAACAGATGTGATCTGTTCTCACCGGACTTATTTGGTAGAAAGGTCTCTCACTCACTCGACTGATTTCATTGGGTTAAAGGTTCCGCGGGGGGGGGCATGACCGGAGGACCAAGAGCGGATGCCGGATTTACGGCTAGCAGGTCAAAGACAAGGGCACCAGGTACAACTTATCTGGCCATACCAAGCACATGGAGACCTTCTAGAGGGTGATGATGACCCTCGGGGAAGGAGATCGGCCGGCTGCGTGACTCGCTCCGTACATCGGCTGCAGCTTCCTAGATACAGCGCCAAGGGAATTGACTGGCGTCTTGCCCAACACATTTACACTGAGCCCCAGCGGCGCAGTGAGGTGCATCGCGGGAGGCAACAAGGGCATGACGGAGTCGTTTCTCGCGGCTATAACAAGACAGCAGACGGAAGTCACCCGACGGAAAGAAGTGGTCGGATGAATGCCGGATAAACTTAAATGTGCATGGAGCGAACATGTGAGATATTGGGTTTATGTTTCGCTTAGCTGCAGATGTCTTATACAGGCTACTGTAAATATGTTGACAGCATATTTGTACATTTCCATCATGTTGATTGGTGTGTTATGTTGTGATTTATGATCTGGTCTTCCATACCACACAATACTCTCTGTACAAAGAGGATGCCTACCTTGCAAAAATGGAATCTAAAGTTATGCAAACTAAAAGTTAGGATGCTGTAATATACCGGAAATTGTTATGATATATGCAGCAATCGAGCCGTAATGCTTGAGCACCACGCCAAAAATATATGTTGCATTGCTATAAGGCATTCAGGAGAGTGGCTTTATTAAACAGCAGGACACAAGTAGTATCACAGGCTTCTACATTGCAACCAAGCCAAGCAAAGGCTGTGAGAAGTTCTACCTTTGTATGACGGAGTTCGTAACTAAGATGTTAAACCGAATGTAAATATTCAACGCTTCAAAAAACTGTTGTCAAGACCGAAACAAATTTTCCAATACTTGCAATCCGTGATACAGATCCACGACATGCAACAAATCGCGTCGATACCTTGTTTGGCTGCTTAGTAAAAGCCAGTGGAATTTACCGCCAGCCTTGCCGAGCTGTGCTCCCGGAGCAGCATGGATGACGTCACGCGCTGGGGCCGGTAGAAGACAAGTCTATAGCAGAGCAGAACGCTATTCACTGTTGCAAGCAAAATGAGTAGCTCGGCGCGACCGGCGTCAACAGACCATCTCGGTGGTCCGCAAGGCCGTACGTTGGAGTACGTTGGAGCGGCCTTCCACGGCCAATCCAACGTACTTTCATGGAAGACATGCCACGTCTTCACTGGCCATCCTGAGCAAGCCATGGCGAAAAAGGCAAACATTCGGCGATGTTTTGACATGATGTCAACAAGATTGTGCTCCCTCAGTATCAGTTATGTATCAGCCTCAGTCCATCTACTTGGGCCATTTCCACTTAGACTGACCTTTCCTTATCTCATAATCGTTTTCTGGCTATAGCGTTCCAGAGAAATGACTGAGTGAATTCGGTTCGCCATGTTGCGTCTGGTTTCCATCTACAGATTGACTTAGTTTATATATTTTGAGCTGAATGAGCCTTTTATTTGCTTTATGGTTTTCCTAAATGCAGACTGCTTTGTCAGAGCTCTTACTTTGCCATATGTCAATTGCACTGGGGGGGGGGGGGGGGGGGGGCGTGGGCACCACTCGGACACTTTCGAAGCCTCCGCTTGGCAAAACAACCCACGCTGCCGGCGAGTATGATTCTGATGCAACTAACAGCTTTTTACATCTGTTTGACGTCTACTTCCTCCAGAGTTAGGGAGACTGCCTTGCTTAACTAACGTGCGATGCGAAGTGGTGCCTTGCATACAGCCCGGGCCCCGCGGAGGTGTACGTTCAGGTACGGCGCGGCTGATTCGAACGGTAGTGATCGCGTGCAGCTGTTGTTGCTACAAAAAAGCTTGCTGCAGGAGGTACCATACAACGTGTCGCGACTAAGACTTCTGTCAGCGCTCGCTCACATTTCTGCTGAGCAAGAAGCAATGTATGCCCAGAAAGGCGGGGTTGACCGTATAAGACACGTGATAGCCTGATTCTCTGTTCAGTCTGACATTATTGGTTATACCAACCACTGCACTGGTGCAGTTTTCTATGAGCATATTTTGTGGCTAGTCTACTGCCGGGTGAGATAGGATTGAACGTGCGCATGCCTGTCCAGCTCCAACGGTTTTCGAATGAAACGCCGTCGTGTGGCACATTGCCTTGGTATATCCATACGACTGCAACGGCAAGCATACTCGTAGAACGTGCCACAGTCACCACATGCGAAGTACGAAATAATATTTAGTTGAGAGGAAAATCACCTCGCTACTGACAGTAGAATTTTGCGCCGGAAAAAACAATACAAAATATATATCATCTGTCGCATTTGCTACTCGCCAGAACAATATGGCCTAGGATGCAAACTGGTTATCAGCAACCATATCTTTTCCGCTACCAATAATTCCCTGCAACATTTCGTGCGATGCGACTAACCTTAGGCAATGCGACTTACGCGTCCCGCTAAGGTTGCAATGTTGCCTGGAATACCCTGAGACATGGGCCGCTCATCCCTCCTGCAAGCTTTGTCCAGCTTATCCGTGCCTCGATGAGATGGACTGGATTTGGGGCTCAAATGAACAAGCCCATCTAACGTTTATATGCACTGACAATAAATGCATTTGGCATATTTTTGCAAGGTATGTCGTGCACCTATTAAAAATCAGCCGTATAATTTAAATACGTATGTCCAAAACACATTCATGGCAAAGTGTATCCACCCCAGCTACTTGCGGCAAGTGCCTAAAATAACAGCTTTTGTCGTGAAGCTTTTTGCAGTGATCTGTATATTATCTTCATAATATAATTTGTGTAATATCCACCGCCACTTGAGCCGTTTATATTTACGGAATGTAACTGAAGTGGACTGTATACATTGCTGCAATTCTCTGAGCCCTCCGCAACAAAATATTCCGCATCACCGATCCAGTTGGCGCGTGCATGCACACCAATACCGCATGCTTTGTTTGGGGCACGATGGCGTTTAATCACTGCATGTGTCACTTCCCATTGCGTTACTGAATGCCGCACATCAACCACAATATGCTATTCATGAGAAGGCGTGACGTGAAGCTTTCTTAAAGTATTACCGGAGTGAGCTGGCGGAGGAAAACATAGCGCGCAAGCACTCCCGGGGAATATTGTTCGCTCGATTTTCGCGTTAAGTGTGGCGTATTCTCTTGTTGTGTTGCACAACACATGCCTCATTTCTTCCAAGGGAAGATGGTTAGAGCTGAGTGCACCTTGCCGCAACCCGTAGAGGTTTGGGGTGGCTGCCATTTCCCTGGCTTTTGGGGAGAAATCTGCCCAAATCACAACGCGTTTTGGTCGCAGAACACACTCCTAGGCTCAGCCTGCTTATCCTTATCACGGAGAAAGCTTCATGGATCTGAGTGCTGTGTAATCGGGTGAATACGTCAGATCGAACAGCGTGAATAAGGGCATAAACATTGCTCAGTGATCAGGTAATCCTGTTTGTGCTCGTCCAGTTCCGTGACCCAGTGGCCTGTGAAGCGAGGTGCGCTTCCCGAAAGCCTTAGTGTGTCCCAGGCACCAGGCATGAGGAGCTTCGGCAGTCGCAGTCTCTGCGCATCCACGGACAGACCGCCACGCATTCCTTTCCCCTGCAAGTTTAGCGTGCCCACAATGCTTCTCTCCATCGCTGTCCTGCTGGTGAGTACGAAATCGTGAAGGGCACACACGCTACTCTTGTAACGTTTGCACCCTCTTCAGGGTTTGGATTTTGAGTGCAGCCCTTGGTTTGCACTGCAGCCTGAAGCTTCTTATGTGATGACCCTGAGTCCAAGGTGGGTGAGACCTAAGGTGGGCTTATGACAGTGTTTACGGATCGCATTGGAACAAGTCATCGTCTTGAAAAAGTCAATCAGACAGATGGTATTGTAGTTTTTGAAATAAAGGTCCTTTGTGTTAAGAGCCCTGCATTTTTCACATCAAAAACTACTTACGGACTGTCTGACGATTTGCGTTTTGAATGTGGCTAATGACACTCATACTATAGAAAGTGACACTTAAACCATCCGTCTATGTTCTACGCTAGTTCGTGGATTTCTGCGTGGATGGAGATGCCTATGTGTGGCGTATTAATGGGCGTTTTCCTTTTATCTTATGAGGTTACGCACACGCCAATGACTTGCAAGCAACAACACACCCTGACGGTGTGTTGTTGCTATGCAACAGCAATCATGCAGTGAGTGTTGTTGCTTTACAAGGGCACACATTGAGTGACATACGAAAAAGATAAAGCCCGTCGGCCGATCCCAAAGATTGGATTTTGTTGTTCTTAAACTTTGCCTATTATGAGGTGCTAAACCGATGGGCTCGTCAGACATTTTCTTCCAGTGTAGCACAATGAAAGGAAATCATTATTTGCAAACATACCACCATTGGCTGATTCCAGCCTAAAACCTGCGCCGCTTGTTGAGGCCTCGGTTTCAGCATGTCCCATGATGCGTAGAAAGCACCGTCCACGGTGTCTCGATATCCTTCACAAGTGCCATCAAACAATTCGTTTCAAGGTGCCGTAACGCGCAGCGCGGGTGCCGCTTCGCTTCGGTTGGAGTACCTTTCCAGGCAGGCAAAACGTGCCGTGTTACAGCTGCTTTCAATGTGTTTTAAATTGCCTATCTATGCGAATCTGTCAGGTCAATTCAACATTTTTCAAAGCCCACCATGTACACTGCCAGCGCCCCACCCCAGTATGCTTCGAAATCAGGGTCACTGTCAAGCACCCGAGTGACCCGCGGTCCACCAGCGTGGTCGTACGACAGGCTGTGCCCACCTGACTCGCAGGTCAGCAGCGGCGGGGTCGCACTGGCCAAGAAGGTGGGGTTCGGCTCCGACTATGGCTCGGACTTGACCTTTGATGGCGTGCCCTACAACCAGCTGCACTTTGAACTGGACTTCCCCTACGAGCCGTACGACCCCATCTACGAGAGGCTGGACCGACCCGGAAACCTGACGAGCAGGTAGAGAGCACGGATGATGGCCCTTACTGCGACGCCACTGAGAGCGACGGCGGCAGCATAGCGTGCATCGGCGTTGATTACGGAATCTTTAGTACCATGTCACCATTGACCGCATGCGGGATTTTATGTATGTTTGGGGTGCAGCTGAATTCCTAGCAATCGCCGCCCCATTTCATTGTTGTTTTTCACAATTTCAAATGTATAATGCGATACGATGATTTGATTAGATAGCTCAGCAAACGAAGTCCGGAGCGAGCCATTAAATAACCTTAAGTGTCTTTTTAAAAGCATTGCCCACACAGGTGGAGAGCACACTGACTATGATAGCTGGGCGTAGGCGTGTTTTTTGACGTAACAAAGACTGGGTCGATCATTACTACTCTGTGGTCACTTTTCTATGAGCTACTCACGTCACTTCTCCAGCCCTCACCGTTCAACGTTCGCAAAACAACCATGCCCAATACCAAACGCAAGGTTCCTCCACCACCGTCACCAGTGCCGTCACCACTGACAAAATCACCACTCATGACGTCACGCTGATCACGGCTTCATAAACCACGTCACTGCTTATGACGTCACCACCGCCAAATTGCTGCTGACTACGTTACCACTGCCACATTGCAGCTGGCCACGTTACCACTGCCTTTGTCACCGCTCCCCACGTCAGTGGTGATTGCATGATTTGCTGATGGCTGTTGACAGCGGTGGTGACCCGGCCTGTGCCCCAGGGCGAAGCGGCGGGCGGCGGAGACCCGGGCTCTGTTTCGGGAGTGGCCCACCGGCTCTACCGTGTCGTTCATCTTCGGGTTCAGCATTCCCTTCCGGCCGCGGGGCCAGTTCGACATGCGTTTCCCATTCGTGTTCTTCGTCAACGAGCTGCTCAGGAAGCTCAACGGGTGAGCGACATAGATCGACCAAGAAATCAGCATTAATCGATCCATTGATGTCGTTCATGATTCATTGATGACTGTCAACGGTCAACAGTGCTACTTCAGTTCCGTGATCAGGCAAAAATGAACAATTTGTACGTAAGCATTCCGCATGCAAAGCAAAGCCGTTTACGACACTCCCGTGCCTACCGAGCACGCTCGGCGATGCAAACATGAGCATCCCAGCTGCCGAAAGAACTCTTGGATTGGTAGCCATGGAGTCCTTTTTCCACTCGCCTGTTGATCAGTGCGGACGCCCTGTCAGTGCGGACGTCTTAACGAAGCCTAAACGGACTGCTTCGACCCTCTGCAGCGCGTACGGCCGCCACTTCGTCCACGACCAGTACTCGATGTACCGCTCGATGGAGACGGGCCTGGTGGAGGGTCTGGCGATGGAGGGGCGCGGCTGCGTGCTGCGCGCCATCTGCGACGCCGCCCATCTCGACCTGGCCAAGTTCAGCCTGCTGGGAGAGATGCTCAGCGTCCTGCTGACGTGAGTACACCATTAGGCTACCCGAGCGGATGCACGTTGTGGGCAGAGAGAAGCTTAAAAGACTAACCGGTAAGTGCATGCGACGATGGGTTATAAAGCTGTTTTGTCTAAGCGCCAGTAAATGACAGCGTAACGGTAATGACTAAAAGCAGGCGGGCAAATGTAAGTGGCCAATATGGTGATTAAGGTCCCACGTTTACTTACCATGCACATTAACTACGGTAACAAATATGGCCACAGTGACGATCACCGCAGTGTTATTATATTTTCCGTATTATTTTATGCATCAAATTGTTATATTTTCGCAATGTGACGACTTTTCCTCATGAAAGCCAACGCTTCAAGCATAACTGGGAGGAACTCAAAACAAACCAAATTTTTGCTGTGTGCCTGGTCCCCTGTTTAATTTAATAAGCTGCACAAATGTTTCAGGCCGAAGAGAAGTCACCTTCCTGAGATGGAAGATTACAGTCAGGCATTCAAAGAGGGCAAGAAGTATGGCAACTGCAAGAAGCGCTACTCAGATTGCCCCCTTTCGCTGCAGTCTCTGTTTCCCACAGCATGGTTATCCAAAAAGAAGTGAGAATGGACTGTACTCTTATGTGGCAGTAGAAACCACTTGTTCATGCTTTGGCATTTCGTTGGTAATGCCTGTACGTATGCTGTGGCATACACCATGGAGTTCACGTAAAGATGTGGTTGTATTTCATGCCCGCTGTTTCAGACCGTCACCTGTATCTCACTACACGTACGGTTGCCCACTTTCAACACTTTTCAACAAGCAGCTGAGCCGCACACGCGCGCATGCGAGTGGTCTCCTTGGCAACCAGTTCTGTGGCGTGAGCTCCGTGGTGGGAGGTGTCTATGAATGGACTGACACCCGATGTTTACGCGTGACTTAATACACGGAGTCTCTCAAGGCACCGCTAAGCTGCGTCCCTCACCCGATTTGTTGCTCGGGGCTGCGGCACTCTGTGTCACCCACGGACCAGTCCGTGACGTGTACGATCAATGATACGCCACGGCGCCATGTGCCCGGTACAGCCGGGTGTAGTTTACAGGGCTTTAACGGAAGCCGGCCGGCCGGCAGCCTCCAATCGATACCAGGCGGGGAGGGGGCGGGTGACGGCCGTGTGCACGCCCTTGCGCCGCCCAAGCGGCACCCGCTGTTTTCCGTCTGGGAAACGCGCCGCCCCGCGGGGGCACCCGCTGTCTTCTGTTTGGGATAAGAGCAGCCGTGTCTTTTGTAAGCTGTGCTGTTGTGTTGGTGTTCCTGTGCTTGGAAACGGAGGCCGGCCGTGTAGCAAGGTCAATGTCAAACGGACTGCGGTGCAGCATCACATTATTATCAAGCATAACGGGGAGATATCCTGCTCTGAAGTAGGTCAGATGGTAGTCTCAGCCCTATGTATCCAAGCAGTTAAAAGGCCTTCAGGTAAAAAAAATGGTTTAGCACCAGTACTGGCACCTACTTGGCCCCGTGGTAGTGCAGTTCCCCTGTCACCGGCACCTGAAGCGATGTTTGATCCATTCAGTGCACTGCATGGCTGCATACGTCCTGAGACCAAGAAAGTAGCGGTATGTATCAGCCTACGCACCAGTCTCCGGTACTTCAGGGTCTGAATCAGCACCGAATACCGGTACCGTGGGCAAAAATACTGCAGTGCTGTGATCCAGATGCGTCGTCATGCTCTCGAAGTGTCATTATTACAATCTCAGATGTTTGTTCTCGCTCTTAATCTCCTGCCATTCCGACAGAGGCAGCCTGCGCTGACTGCAAAGTAACTGTAATTCTTGGTATAGATAAGACACTTCTGTTAGCGTAGAGTGACCACTAGGGTCCCTGATAAGTGGCTAGTATGTGTATGAGATGTCAAAGCGCTGGCGGTCATCACCGACCTCGGACAACGGGCGACACGAGCCTTACTTTCGCACACGTTTTATGAACATGGGAGGATTCTATATTCGTGTTTAAGGCACTCTTGGCGCACGAGAGACAGAACACACTTTGAGCAAAGCGCTGCGCCATTTAATAAAGTATTTATCGTGGGTCTCTTAGCGTGTTGAAAAACAGACAGAGAGTTACCTATTATTTTCAGTACAAATGGGCAAATTTGTTTACTGCGTAAATGTGACTTCATCCTGCTATGCAATGCACGATTTCAAATGAAAACAGCTTTTATAGTTTTCTCAGTACAAGCAAAAAAAAAACAGATTTGGTAGCATTTGGCATTTTAGCAATGGAATTTAAAATGTCGCAGCTTTTTCACTCCTCTGTGTGAAAGAGCGGGAACCACAGGCAGTGAACAGGCGCGGGCGTGGGTTGAAATGTTAACGCAGCCGGCATTGTACTGGGATGTAATGGGCGCAGTTGATTTCGTTAGTTGATGTGTCGGAGAATGGATACACACCTGAAGCATCATGTATGAGAAGAGATGATTGTTCTAGCGATTTAGAGGGCTAGATGTACGTCGTTCTACGCTTGTGAACTGGATACCTCTGAAACGTCTAGTGGCATGTATAGGCATATTGCACCTAACCTGGAGTGTGAAAATATTAGATAGCTTGCTCATGCATTTGAGATAGCTGGGAGTAGGATTTGCGACACGTTGGTTAATGGGTTGACGGGAAAACGCACACATAGGAAGGCAGAATGTAAAATTTCTTGTAACCTCTGCCCAGCGATATAGCATGAAGGAGAAAAAGTAGCATTCCGTACCACCTTAGAGACGCATGTTTACGGAGAGTGTACACTACCTGAGAGAGCAGGGGATGAACCGAGACACGGCAACAGAACACATCACGACAAATTCCCATTTTAACACAGAAAATGTACGGCTAAAGGCAGGCGCTTGCGGGTTTACTTCGCTAAGCGTCGGAGCTCGTTGAAGGCACACGAAAGGCTTGTGGCGTTTTAAAGACAAGGTATTTTTCATTATGTCTGGATGCATTCAGCATTTCAAAAGGTTTGCTGGCCGATTCAACCTCTGCAGTGACTTCAAAACCCACATCCCGCGAAGCACTGGATGTGGGTTACTGTGCCGTAGCAGCGAGCTTCGCTTTGCAACCGCCGCGTTTTACAAGTCTCTCCATTGCATCCTTGGCAAATTATTCTTCGCTTCATGCGCAAGACTGACATTTCTCAACGGAGAGGGTTCAAGTGAGTCATTCGCTGATGTGTGCACGAGACAGTGTACGTGATGACGAATCAATAGGTGGTAAATGCGGGCAATGAATTATGTATGCGGTGATGTAAATTGCGTGACGACCCTGGCTACAGTTTCGACGACTGTGTGCTCCATTCGGCAACGTTTTTCAAAATGCCGATATTCCAAGTTCGTCCAACGATTGATGGCGTAACCGTGCATTGCAAAAATTATCGTTGCTAAATTGAACTGACTACGGTTTGTCGGTCGACCCTCTGAACTTGGATTGGCGCACTGACACGCTCTGGCCGCCGGGATGCAGTATAAAACGCGAAGAAAAAAAGCGTAAAACCAGGCAACTTCATCTCGAACACTTCTGTACACGTAACAATGTCGCGTGAGACCACACATCTGACCCCACACGGTATCCGGTTGAATCGTCTGGCGAGGCGTGCCAATTTTCTTTCGCTCCGACCGCTGGTCGCTGGGACACGGTCGCGGTTTTGAACGGCTGCTTCTCAGGCTGGTCGCGGGTCACATTATCAGGCTGCCCGTGTCAAACCAATAGGCCAAAAGTGGTCCTTCCCGAACGTGCCACGGATTTCGGACTGCAGCGGCCCGCGAGCCAGCTGTTCAAAACCGCCTCGTGCGCCGGCGTCGCGTCCAAATTGCGCTGCTCGGCGACTCGCTGTTCGGCCCGGGCACGATGCAACGCAGCATGGTACAGGCAGGCAGACAGGCAGACAAATTTATAGACGGATAGACAGACGCGCCATAAGCAAACAGTATATAGAAAATAGTACATGAAAGATAACGCGGACCACAAGTTGTGAGGATCCTTGCACATTCGTAACCTTCGCTCGGGGCCAAACACACAAACGTTGTGTTGGGACCTAGTTCAAGCAACCTTGTCCAAATGTGCGTTTTTAAATAGCGATGCATACATTGTGATGAGCTCTGTTGCCCCTGTCGCTTTTCTGTCTACTCCGATACACGATGTGTGTCATCGAAACCTTTCGGCTCGGCCAGCTGTATTTCCGGCGGCCTTTAATTCAGCATCGTGTATTGGGCGCTCAGAAGTAAAAGCCTGAATATCCGGAATGTTCGTGATGTTAATGCAATGTTTGTGATCCCTGATGCTCGTGGTAAGTAATTTTGCAACCTTATACTCAGTAATAGTCATAATAACCTCTTAGCCCGGCCGCCCGTGTTTCGTACAGCCATTAGCGCACTACTGTGTAGCGGGAGTCAGTATGGAAAGCTCAATTAATTGACGAATTGGAATACTTTTGTCGGCAGTCTTTGCATAAATTCGAAATGTTCTGTGTTCGCGTGCCCTATTTTTACTGTCATTTTTTGCTTTTTTCACAAAACCAAAGTCGGCCTTTTCACTCGTGACCTTGCCCGTGGCCAAGGCAACCTTTGTGACCATTGCACAGCTTAAAACCTCAAGTTTTTTTTCAACATGGCCGATGCCCCCTCAATAATATTGTACCTCTTCCTACCTATTGTACCTACCGTCGATATGCCAGCACCGCATATTATATCGATGCACCAGAACAAGAACGACCAACTGATCATAAGTGATGTCCCCTGATTCCCGTTACCAATTGGTCGTGCGTGTTCGCGTATAGCACCCGCCAGTTGATCATCAGCTCTTGGGAAAAGTTGATAATGGGCTGGAAGAATGACGTTTTGTGATGAGTTGATAACGTATTCGGTGCATGAGTAAATGGATTTTTGATGAGGCGTAGAGCCGAACATGCAGGCAAATCTTGGTTAAAGACGTCAAAATAAAAAAGTCCTAGGCTGTGCGCGGGCGCGACTGCAGACGGCGACGTATACTGCCGGACGCACTTAATGTCAACTGAGCGAAAACACGGATGTCATGAGGCTGAATAAACCTGAATAACCTGGCCTGCATGTACTGCAATGCTCACTAAAAATGAAAAGCGCCAAAAGGTTTAACTTGCACGAGCATATAAGCTTTATCTGTATCCACGATGGCGTTTGTAAACGCCCATATGTTTGCCCGCTGGGTACCAGTGATTTGCGCTGGTCCGTCGAATCTATAGCTATCGCGTGTCGTTCCTGACAATAGTGTCCGTTATCAAACCTGCATCGCATGTGGGATCGATGCGCGCGATCGCAATTCGTGAGAGCGTTATCTGCTTCTGGTCGTGTCCCACCGCTTTGATGGATAAGGTCGTTGTTAGGCGTCACCTAGCAGCGTTTAAGAGCGGTCGGTAAAATTGAAAAGCGTCACGTTCCGTGTTTATGGCGGCTTCGAAGGTGGCATCGCGTCTGGCGCGGAAATGAGGCGCTGCCGTCGGCATGGCGTGGGCTGTTTCCAGCGCTAGGTTCGGTGTGTCACGACGCCTTCGTGTTCCTTGCCATGTACAGCGGATGCCAAGAATTAGCCGCCTGCAAGAGCCGGCAGACACGCAGCTGCTTTTAAAGTGTTTTATGCTTTATTTTGCCTCTACAGTAATGCACGGTGCTACACTTTGATGCTGCTTGCACATGTCATTTCCTCTGGCTTCCTACGACTACTATGTCTTATACATTAGGTTATTTCGTCCAAATAAGGTATTTGAGTTAATGGTCTTTAACTTATTACTTGAAACTTTGGATGGAAAGTCACATGTCAACTGTAAGGTTCTAGATGCGCAATGATGCTCGGCGTCAATCTCAGAGCAGAGTGGCAGGCTTTCCTGGCCTTTTGGTCTTAAGCCCGCGGAACACTTTTAGATGTGCGCAGTTGTGTACCTCCGCTG